TCTGCTGATCCAAGGTCAGCTGAAGTTTTGGGCTTCTCTAGCTGCAGGGTGTATTTGTAGCATGGTCTCTTCAAACACTTTTCAGCGTGTTATGAACACTGCCAGGATTCCCTCCTTCCTTTCCTCCAATATAACTTGTACATGCCAAAATGAGTGTTTCAAGGTAGTACTTTTGCCACACAGAATGCAGAGCAGCATTCTTCCCGTGATTTTCCTTTACCTTTTTCTTTTATGGGTATGAACTGCTCATTCAAAGAATTGAGAAGTGGTTAAATGTTCAAAAGCACTGGGATTTGTAAGAGACTTCGCTGTTTTTGTTGTGCTCTTTGTCTTCTTTTGACTATTCGCAGAGATGAGGATAGTAGAGGGCAAGGAACTAATCAAAACTAACTTGAATTTGGAAATGTCCTTCAATAAACTATACAAGTAACAACAAATATCAGGCCAAGAGCTATTGATTCAAGACACAGTAGTGATAATGCATCCAAAACTTCTCTGGCTGAGGCTAGTGGGCCAAGTGCTGCTGGTTTATTTTTCAGCAATAGGATCCTGGAAAAGTATCTAAAATGTAGCTTGCTTGCTTGCTTGCCAATGATACCAGGAGGATCCTTCAGAATGGAAGAGAACTCACCTTCCATTTCAACAACTGTTTCTTCACTGGACCCTGAAGAAAGCTGGTCCAACAATACCATCCACAAACTAGCATCCAATGAAGTGCTCAAAGTTCTTCATGGCACTTGGGCTGTTACCTGTGAGCTGCCCACCTATGCAGGGGAACACAGTGATCCAGGCCAGCCCAAGCCCCGCTTGCCTGCGCCACCTGGTGAGTCCATATGTGATTAGATTTCTACTCATGCATATTCCAGACATATGATCTGCCTGCCAGAAACGGGCAAGTGGCGTACCACAGAGAATGAACCGATCTTTTCTTGGCTGAAAAACTGCAAGGATGGAGAGGTTCCAGGAAGCCTCTTCAGCCTGTTCCTGAGCTGCAGGCACTCACCTGGCAGAAACTCAACTTTCCCGGGCTTAACGAGGCTTCTTTAGCTGAGCAGGGCCTGCCCACAAAGCACTTGCAGGACGCTGTTGTGAGTGTGGCTGGTTTGGCACGGCAAAATTTCTGTGCCTGATGCAGAGGCTCTCTGGGAGAACCGTAGGACAGGCACGGTGCTGCTGACTAGCGGAAGGCTGGAGTCAAGCCATGGGAGGCTGAAAAGGCGATGCTGTGAAGCGGGAAGGAAACCACTTTCCTGTTCTTCCCTAGCCCTCTCCAAATGTTCCAAGAGTTGATATCTCCTGGGGACATCTCCTGGCTGCCAGGCCCAGCCGGAGGAGGCACTGAGGGAGGGGTAGGTGGGACTGAGGTGCTGGGCCTGGGAAACAGCACCAGATCACTCCTTTTCCTCCTCGTACGCTCTGCCCAATGAAAAGGCTCACACACATTTGAAGGCTGTGGGGAGTGGTGGGCAGGGACTAACAGCAAGGTTTCCTATTTCTTTATGTGGAGATGATAGGAGCCTTGCAGGATTACACCCACAGGCCATATGAAGAAGAGACTGAGCACTCTGCCTGTCCGTGGCATCTTCCCGGTGTGCACATTCCTTGCTGAACACTGCAAAAGTAGGACTACCTGGTACCTGTGTGCGGCGGAAAATGCACAGTGCTTTGTGTACCAAGCATAGGCAGGCATTCTGCATTAAATAAAAGGCCTCTCCAGCTTTTATGTGCTGGGATTAGAGAAAACGTTGTGCTGCAAAAGGCTGGCCTTCCCTCCTCATATTGCTTGCTGGACTGGGCCAAGCGTGTTCACTGAAGAGCCGGGCTGTCAGGTATATTCCCAATGTCCAATTATTGGCACTTCTGCAAGATTGGCTGTTCCTATGGCAATGCCTGACTAATGCACCATTTAATATTGGCCCAGAATACTCCAGAATCGCAAGCCTGGTTTGGCTGGGAAGAGGTCAGGCACAGAAGAGGGCTAGTTCAGTAACTGTTCCCTCAACAGAGGGGAAAGCTTCAGCGCTGGCTGCAGATGCAGACTTCCAAAAGAAAGGAAGCGATCACAGACATTCAGTTGCCAACGTTGTGCTGCACCTGCATTGACGGTAGAATGCAAGAGCTAAAATAAGTTGCGTTTTTAGAGTTAATCTTGAGCATGCAAAGGCCTAAAGTATCCCTGCATAAATACATGTGGCTCTCTGCCGATTGCTCACCCCTGCCACCAAGCTCGCACGGGGTCTGTAGGAACATCCTTTAAACACCTTGTAATAAAACATTGACTGCTGATCTCTTGTCACTGTTCTGCACAGAGTCAAATAAATTACAGGAACAGTCATGAAGAAAGCACCTGGGGACCCAAAGAGATGGTCTGACTGCCAGTGTGGGTGGCTGTTGTTTGACCCGCTTCGGTTGTGGAAACCTCTCTGAAGCGTGGGCCCTCAAAGAAGGCTGTCCTCCCATCCTAATGCAGCTGATTCAGAGATGGGGCTATGAGACGAGAAAAGCGTTCATGCCACCTTTTTTCCTGCAGGGAACTCGCCCAAGGCGGCTCACACGATTCCCATTCTCCCCGTTGTAGCCTCACAACAACCCTGTGAGGTAGGGGAGCTGCGAGTCCACGCCTGCCACCAAAGTCACCCACTGGGCGTCATGATGTGGGGGGGGACTAGAACCTGCATCTCCCAGTGCCTAGTCTAGTGCTGAAGCCGCTACACAGCCCTAAGCAAAGCCTGTACCCACTCAGCCGGGAAGCTCATGCAGTCACCGTGGGCCGCCGACCAGCTCAGCCTGTGCTACCTTGCAGGGTTTGTGTGAGGCTGAACTGGTGAGGAGGCAGGTATAGAAACTGCAGTTCCTCGAGGGAGGAGAAGAAGGCAGGATACACATGTAAAAGAGGAAACAGAGTGCACAACATGTGGTGCCTTCATTGTGTTGCCCCAGCAGCATTTGTCCAAGCGTAAGAGAAATATATATTTCAGTGTATGTACAGTTGCAGTGTATGGCTGTGAAAGCTGGACCAGAAGGAAGGCTGAGTGCCAAAGGATTGAGGCCTTTGAATTGTGTTGCTGGAGGAGACTCCTGCAAGTCCCTTGGACCGCAAGGCGATCAAACTGGTCAGTCCTGGAGGAGATCAACCCTGACTGCTCTTTAGAAGGGCAGATCCTGAAGATGAAGCTCAAATACTTTGGCCACGTAATGAGAAGGAACAAACTCATTGGAGAAGCCCTTGATGCTGGGAACAAAAGGAGAAGGTAACGGTAGTGGATGAGGTGGCTAGATGGGGGCAGTGGGTGTGGGCTTGGGTGGACTCCGGGGGATGGTGGAGGACAGGAGAGCCAGGAAGAACATTGTCCATGGGGTTGTGATGGGTGGCGCATGACTTTGCGATTAACAACAGAGAAATAAGGGTTAAAAGGGTGCATTAAGTTATTTGTGTTCAAATGAATGCACAAAAATAGCATGCAAGATTGTACTTCCTAAATGATATGAATAATCAGCGGCAAATTTGGAAGACGTTATAGAGACTAAAAGCGTTCAGATAGTACGACAGACGGTGCTCAATTTATAGCGCAACAGCCCCACCTCAGGCTACTGTGACTGTGTCAGCAGGGTTGGGCTTGATCAGTGGGCATGCACAGAAAAGCTTCAGTTAAATGCGCTGCAAGAAATGGTTTTGACGATGCCGTGGCTTAAAAATGTCTTTGCCATTCCTGAAGGAATTTTCCCTGTACAAAAATTGGTATCGTTTGGAATAGAGGGTTTAGTTTGGGTGAGACGTTTGTTCTTATGACGGAGCTTCTCCCGGGCAGCCGCTCTCGGTGGGGAGAGAGCCCCACCTGGCGCGTCACAGGTGGGAACACACCTCCCTCCCCGCCCGAAAAGGAGGGACTTCCTCGCCACTCTTAACATGGCTGCCCGAACACACGTTTGCCAAAAAAAGGAGCCTTGGCGGAGCACCTAAACGCATGTGAGAATCACTTCCCATGGAGAATCACTTGAAGGAGAATCACTTCCCATGTGCCGCTGGTACTGATATGGAGAGACTGGAGAATTTCATTCCGTCTTAGAACAGATGCTGAACTGCAAAAGGAGAGCGCGGCCCAAGCATCGGAAGGCGTCCCGTGAGCCGGTGCACAGGGAAGGAGCGGCAGCTCTTCCTTTTCAAACATCTATGAGCGCCTCTGTGGAAGCCAGCCACTACCAATATGGCGGAGGACTTAAACCCTCTGCAGGAAGACACGACCAACATGGCGTGTCTGTCGTCACTTTCCCCTTTCCCACCCAAAAGAGAGGGACTTCCTCGCCACTCTTAACATGGCTGCCAGAAGGGGATGCGCATTTTCTTCCCACCCTCCTTCCCTGGAAGGTAAGTCCCCTTGGCACTGCCCACACAGCCACTTGCTACACAATAAATATACAATAGCTGCTGTCTTCTGATGTCTGAACAAACTCTTCGCCTTTCTTGATGGTGAAAAATGATAAAATACCATCATTTTAAAGGCTATTAAGGCCCCAATGATTATAAAGCAGCCATTCCTTCCTCTCACTATCCTCTACTTTCAACAAAACCACTGTGGGTGCATTTGCCCACTAAATGAAATATTTCTCTTGCAGTTGTGTCACAAAACCATGGCTGAGAACTCACAAAAGCCTGTTTCTCTAATACTAGAGAGGAGTAACTGCCTATTTAGTATGTAGGGGTGATAGTTCCTGCTGTTTCTCTAGCACAGGCAAGCTCAAGCCAGTCCTTGCTCTGAAGGTAAAAGTGTGTTACCTCGAGTTCCTGTTACTTCGCCACATCCTGACTTATCAGTGAGATTTGCTTCCATTTCCTTGAGGTTGTTTCTTCTCCTCATAGGATGCATTTTAACTTATTTTTCAAGATTTATCCTTCTATTCCAAAAGAAGGAGAAGCTTTTGCAAATTAAAATTAGGGTCAATTTTTTCCACATTCCCCTGTCACCACTTCCAGTGCACTGGCAAAAGTGAAGACGGGTCAAAGGTTTCGTGGGCTTAGCCCCAGCAAATGCTGCAAACTTGGAGGCATTCCATCAACCTGCCCATTCTAGCCACTCATGGGGCCATGAGTGATGTGGTGCCGATTTTTTCCGCCATTCCCTGACACCACTTCCAGTGCACCATCGAATGCCCAATGCAGGATGGGCCTCGGGCCCTCCCCTAGCAAATGCTGCGAATTTGGAAGCATTCCACCGACCTGCCCATTTCACGGACCTGCCTGTTATGGTAACTTTCAGAGCAGTGCTCTTAACCGCAGCCCCACACTGGCTCTCACTTCTGCTGTGTTTGGTCCTCTAATAGTATCAATGAATGAGGAGGCACCCTTGCAAAGTGTAGCCTGGCCTTCTTTCACATTCTCACCAAGCATCCCTGTGAACGAGGTGGGGCCAGGGTATAAACAGTCTCATAAGGGAGAACACATTCTTTCAGAATAAGATAATTATGTCTCACTATGTCCTAGATTAAGATTTAATAAAACATTAAGTGCTTTTGTTCTCTTTCCTAAATTATACAAATATAGCTCCCTGCATTAGATAAACTTAGACATCTCTCCAGACTGGCTGCTTCTGTATGAAATCTGTTCTATTGTATCTTGTAACTGAATCTTCTTCCTTACTCCAAGAAAATCTATAATTTCTCCCTGTGTGAATTCTTTACTATCCACTGAACCATGTTTTCCAACAGAAACTCTTTCCACTCCCCAGGCCTTTGCATGGTTTTTCCCCATATGCGAATTCTTTGATGGCATATATGGACTTTGTTCTAACTGAAGTCGTTTCCACACTTCAAGCACTGATAGGATTTCTCCCCTCTGTGAACTGCTTTATGAGAAGTAAGAATTCCGATAGAAGCTCTTGCCACATTTATTTGGTATCTCTTTTGTGTGAATTCTTTGATGATACATGAGGCTCTTCCTAAGATGAAAACATCTCCCATACTCCATGTATTTATATGATTTCCCCTCATGTGAATTTTTGATGAGAAATAAAGTTCATTCTTACCCAGAAGCTCTTTCCACAGTTCAAACATTTGTAGTTTCTCCCTGTGATGTGTTCAGTTGAGTTTTGAGCTCCGACTGGAATTTTTTCCACAAGCCAAACATTTGTATGGTTTCTCCCGTGTGTGAATTCTTTGATGTCTCTTGAGTTGTGCGCTCCAGCTTAAGCACTTCCTGCACTACTCATAATTAAATGGTTGCTCCTCCGTGTGGAATTTGCCATGTAGTTTAAGTTTTGGTTTAAACTTTAATATTTTTTGGACTGTAATTTCACAGTTGTCACTACCCAAAGAAAAGGAATTATTCTGTCCCTTCCCATTTGATTCAGTTTCCTTTCTTTGCTTTTCACTCTTTACCACTGTCTCATTTTGGTGACACTGCAAGTAATTCTCCTTTATTCACCATTTCCCACTTTTCATCTTCAGCAAAGATGGGAAATTGATTTTTTTTTTTAAAGCCTGTGTTAGAAAGGAAGCTGAAATCATTCTGAAATTGGCTGTGATAAAGAACTGGGGGGAAAAACACCTGGATGGGAGGCGAATTAGAACATATTCTTCTAGTAATCATACAAGAACCTATGGGCTGATTGGAGGCCACCGGGAAAGGACTCCATGCAGTGGGTCTATTTCTATGAAACTTCCCATTTTTGGACAAGCACCAACATCGTGCTGTTTCCAAAGCCTGCTTCTGAGAAGTCTTTCTTGCTGACCCACCACAGTAGGAATGTTTTCTTAATATATTTGTAAAATCATGTCTCCATTTTACCCTTTTAGTATCCATTGCTCCATAGTCAGTCTAGATAGCAGAATACCAATACTGGAAACAAACAAGCAAATCAACAAACCATGCAAGAGAGGCTGAAGAGGCAGCTGTGCCGTGTGTTGCATTGGATGCTGTCTGGGAAGACTCAGAGCGAGGAAGGCACTTGGCTTCTTAAGGGTTAAATGAACAGAGCTTGATTCCTAGAAGGGAAAGGAATTCGGGAAGGAAGAGGAAGTGGTGTCCTCTGCAGTAAATGCATATCCCCCTCCCCACACCCATTCCCAAATCCCTCTTTTTCCAGCAGAGGAGAAAGGCTGCTGTCCCCCTTGCCTGCTGCACAGCTTCCCCTTTCTGGGATATGGCAAGTCTCTCCTATGCATGTGAGTGAAGGGGAGCCAGGTGATTGTTGGTGGGGGGGTTGTGGGAAGGTGAGGAGGGGTGGGAAGACTGCATGGGGTGCTACAGAGACTGCTACCCAAGCCGGGGAAGGAAGAAAAGGCACGATGATACTCGAGGGACCCTCTTGCCTCTCCAGAAGAGCATCAGGCCAAGGAGGAGATCAACCTGACCCAATCCATCAGTCAGAACTGGAAGCTTGCTTTGCCCCTCCGTGCCAGAAGGAGCACACCTGCCCTAGCTGCAAGCTGCCCTGGGACCAAAGGGTGGGAGGGAAGCCTGCAAGCCTTGTCCATGGGGCCCTGTGGGGTGCCGCACCCCCTGCCTTCCCAGGAAGAGCTTCGCTGTGAGGAGCACTGCAGCCTGGCCGCAGGTGTCCCTCCAACAACCTGCCAGGGTAGAACCACCGCTACACCCAGACCATTTTCATAAGCTCTGGGAGGGGGACAGGTTCTGCCACTGAACAATGTAGCCTTTGCCTTGCCCCCTAAAAACCCTATTTCTAGCCACCTGTTAGGTCAGGTGAGTTCTGCATGGCGCACATACAGTTGTTCCATTTAGCTACACAACAGCCCTTTGAGTGGGTGTTCCTGCCACCCAGTGAGGTTCAAGTCACGTCACCCACTTTATTCATTATACTTACATCCTATCATTTACCACTGAAGAACCTAAAGCAGCATCTACAATCCCCCTGCTCTTACCTGTTTTATCCTCACAACAACCCTGTGGGGCAGGTTATTCTGAGAAACACTGGTACCAAGACACCTAGTGAGCTTCTTGGCTGGACATGCACATGGTAGGCATGTCATGAGTGGAGCTGGCTGGAGCCAGGGGTCAGACTAGATGGCCCAGGAGGCCTCTTCTGACACACACAGTTTCTATTTTCTTAGGTTCCCGTCCAATGTTCTAACCACTGTCCTACTGGATTCAATGACTTTCATGAACTATATCCTGGCCTTTATGGTCCCAGTCTGATGCTCTTTATATAAGACACCAATTGTCAATCGTTACCACTCCCTTCGGGTTCTTAAAATGCATGGCAAAACCTATCTCTCCTATCAAGGGTTTCAGTACTTCCTTTGCTACGATGGTTACTTGAGGTTGTTCAGTCCATTGAATGTCCATTTCTAAAGCAGCTTAACAATTTCCTCTCTTCACTGCAGAAAGTGAAAGGTAGGAAATGGAATATAAGGAAGGACAGTCACTGAAAAGAGGCAGAAATGAGAAGAGGGAACAACAGGGGGAAATTGAATTGGATCACAAGATAAAGGATGAACCCTGTGAAATCCAAGAAAAAATAGATGAAAGGAATGAAAAGAGCAAGTTCCATTATGCCAATTCTCAACCCAACCTTTCGGCACATTGCAAAATCTCCACCGAGAAGCAACTGTTTAAATGTGAGGTGTGTGGAAGGAGTTTTGGTTCAAGTGCCCAGCTTACTGACCATCAAGGAATCCACACAGAAAAGAAGCCTTATAAATGCCTGGAGTGTGGAAAGAGCTTCCGTGTAAGCACCAGCCTTACTTCTCATCAAAGAATTCACACAGGAGAGAAACCATATAAATGCTCAGAGTGTGAAAAGAGCTTCACCACACGCACAAGCCTCACATACCATCAAAGGACTCACACGGGAGAGAAACGTTATAAATGCCTGGAGTGTGGAATCAGCTTCACTTTGAGCACCAGCCTTACTTCTCATCAAAGAATTCACACAGGGGAGAAGCCATATAAATGCCTGGAGTGTGGAAAGAGCTTCCGTGTAAGCACCAGCCTTACTTCTCATCAAAGAATTCACACGGGAGAGAAACCATACAAATGCTCAGAGTGTGGAAAAAGCTTTTGCGTGAGCACACATCTCACTTACCATAAAAAAACTCACACTGGGGAGAGACCCTATAAATGTTTGGAGTGTGGAACAAGCTTCAGTGTAAGAACAAGCCTCACTTACCATCAAAGAACGCACACAGGAGAGAGACCATATAAATGTTTGGAGTGTGGAACAAGCTTCAGTCGGAGTTCTGACCTTACTTCCCATCAAAGAATCCACACTGGAGAGAAACCATATAAATGCTTAGTTTGTGGAAAGAGTTTCCGGGTGAGCTCAAGCCTCTCTTCCCATCAAAGAACCCACACTGGAGAGAAACCCTATAAGTGCTTGGAGTGTGGAAAGTGCTTCACTAGAAGCACACACTTGATTACACATCAAAGAACACACACTGTAGCATTGTGTAAGATGTAAATATTTGGACTGTGATAAAAGCTTCTGTCAGAAGACGGACGATCTTCTGCCCATCAAAGAACTCACATGAGAGAAACAATAGAACTGCTTGGAGTACGGAATGTGTTTCAATCATAATAAAACTAAGTGGAAAAGCCACTTAGGAAATGTTCTGTATAAATGAATGCCACAAAAGAATCCATATTTATATACTGTAACAAAGATACATGATTTTTTGGACATAACATTGGTGTCTAATAAGAATTACCCACAGATTACAGCTGTTCCCAGACTGTGAAAAGAATCATAACAATCTTGTCCTTTCCCCATTTTATCCAATAGGTTTTAATTTTCTATAGTTTGCATTTCAGTCTTAGCAAAATTTTACTTTATAATTTATACCATGGTACATTAATAATCAGCTTCTTTAAACCACTTCTGAATTTCAACATTTTTCATTTTGCCAAAAATTCCAAAAAGCGTTCTCTTTTAACCTGTACCAGCATATCAAATTTGCCCCTATGATTTTTATAAAGGTTGATTTTTGCCTGCACAGATTTTGGTAGACAAGGTACAGCATCATTCTTTTTGCTCACAACTTCTGACATAGGAGTTATTCATTACTCTTTTAGGTGATGCAAGCAGTCTTACAGAGTTCTGTTTCTGTGTGGAGTTTTACTCATTTAAATTATTACTATAATAACAGGTTTTCCAAAATGCCATGATAGCATAGACATGGCAAAGAGTAGGATTTTAATAGCAAAAATAATAGTATGTTACCATCAGGAGATGTGATGAACTGTCTGGCATAAATAAACTGGATTTTCTGTTCAGAGAGAAATCCTAGGATCCCTTGATGGGTGATCCGGAGACTCTAGGATGGCTCAGAGCACCTCTTCCAAGGAGAGAGACAGTGTTCCAAGTGTCAGTGGGAAGGGCTGAACATCCAACCTCTCTCAGGAGGCATTCAGAGGACATTCTGATTGCCTCTCCAAGGTGAGAAAATTGATCTCAGAGGGGGGGAAGGGGGTATCCTGGTGTAGGATAGCAAAAGCCTCAAAGATCAGAGGGCAGGGAGGCCAAGATTGGTTCCACCACTCCTCCTATCCTGCCAGCTTCAGCCAGGCAGGACACATGAATCCCAGAAGTCCAGTGGTTTCCAAGCAGCTAATCTGCAAATTTCTAACATATATTTTATTTACTTCTGGAAGAGAAGTGAGAGACAGGAATATGTTAAGAGAACATCGTTACCTGCCCCAGCTGACTGCCTCCAGTTCCTGTAGATGGGAGACCAAAAGGACTATTCCACCAGCCCTGCTAAAAATCTACTTCTTTTCTCTCTCCAACCCAGTTTCCTTGTGTATCACGTTGTTTATGTTGTTTTAGATTAGCAGCCTATAGGCAGGGCTGTCTTGTTTTACTGATAGAAAGCTACTCTGCATCTGAAGAGGATATGCTTTAAATTAAGAATTCAGTAGGGAAAAACCACTCGCGTATAAAAATATATTGCAGTACTGAATATATATGCATGATTAGGTAAGATTCATGTGCACAATCCTTGTAGAACCTGTATCTTTCTTACCATAAGTAATGCTTATTTTATTGGGATTTTCTTCATGCCCTCTTTCTCCTACCTTATTTCCCTGAAAGCACGTTTCCGGCTTGCGTTCTTTTGTCTATTTTAACCACCTATTTTTCAATAAATGCTTTGAAAGAGTTTTCTAAGATTAACTTGATCTAGCCATGAGGGCCCTAAAAGTAGCACACATGCCCAAGAATTTGCCATAGCAAAACAAAATTCTGCACCAAAAGAGCTGTTTCATCACATGGAGATTTTGTATACTTATGTTTTTAGTCATGTCAGGGGAAGGTACAGGCATCCCTGAATTCCTGTTTCTGTTAGAAGTGAATCTCTCTGGCCTGGCTGCTGAGATTTCAGCAGGCTTGCTTCCCACTCTGCTTTTCGTACTGACAGTTGATAGGTTTCTTCCTGCTCCCATCCCTCTTCTCCCTCAAAGGTTCAACCCAGTCCCCACCTTTTGCACATTAAATTATTGCTTGCTGAAGCTCTTCCAGCACACCGTTGTAGCTGAACAGCAGTAATATCCTGTTTCAAAAAAGAACCAAATGTACACTCCTCCTGGACAGAAATGTAGCTGTCATTTTTAGATACTGGAGCATATGGTGCTGCACATACATGCCAATTAGGCACAGCATAGCGCAGTGAGTCACGCTCTTTTTAGAATAAAAGCACAGAATTTAAACCACTTGGGAATTAATGCCTAGAAAGTATTTTTCAGCTATACCATTAGCTATGTCAACACACTGGCCAATCCCCCCCCCCCCACACACACACACAGTTATACGGGTGCAGCAATTGATTATGGGCAAACTTTGGTCAGGTTGAGTTTATCTTATCCCTTCTGCATTGGGGTGGGGACACATATGGGTAAATCATACAGAATAGTGTGCTCCCACACAGCGGTAGATTAAAGAAGGGGGTGCACACCTTTGCACAAACACACCTGCACAGAACGACAAAAGTTAGTTGTATCTTGCCCTAATTTTGCCATCTTCTTTAGGACAAGCACATTTTTAGAGTGCAATATTCAGGGAAGGTCCTGTGCTCTGACCCAGATTTATTTTTGGTGACAACAGAGCAGTCTTCTCTGCAAGGATACCCAAACCTACAAAATAAATCTCCCATTAAATACATCAGGCCCAATCCTGAACGCTTTAGGTGTTTTATTAAAAATGTATCTGCTTTGGTTTTCCTCCAGGCCATTCTGACAATAATATTTGTGTTTATGTGGCCTAGTTTGTTGTTCATTTGTACACCATTTCATGGTTTTTCAAATCAGAAGCAGTATCTACATATTGTTAATAAACAGACTATTAAGATGGGGCTGCATTATATAGTATCAGATCATTAGCCCGATCTAGGGCAAGAGAAATGGTTCTCTCAGTTTTCAGAAGTCTTTCCAACTCTACCTGGTAATGCCAGACTGAATTTGGAATCTTCCAAAAATCTTGTGCTCTGCCAGAGCTGCATCTGGTGACCAGAGGGAAAGAACTGAGCTAACTATGCTGAGTGCCGATCTCTTCCCCAGCACTCCCCCCTCAAAAACACAAGAAAAACAACTCTGAAGCAGTTGGGAGTGCAGTGCAGTAATTGCTACCATTTTATCTCATACGCACTGATCTTCCACCTAGGTTTAAGAGGAAAAGCCGTCTGTAAGAGTGACAGCACCTCTTACTGCTTGGCTTCTTTTGCAAAAACTTGCTAGCATCCCTTGAAAACTACATCCCTTGAAAACTATTCCTACTGAATCCAGCAAGGTACATGCTTATTCTTTGTGTAGGCTACGGATAGCACACCCAATTCACTGACTTCCCAAACACGGATCACAGCTTGGGACTCGTAATGATCATGGCAACATCTTTCCATACAACACTAGCCCCCGGACCTAAGCAACAAATATTTAAAATATAAAGACAAGGAAGTCATGGATTAGTTTCTATAGATTTATTGTAAAAGCAAGAGTACAGAAATGGCTTCAGATGGCACCTCTTGGGGTTTTGAAGTTCATCCCTACAGTGGGTTGTGTGACCTGCAGGTTGGACAGGCTGCCAAAGTCCTGGAGCAAACACAGACACGAAAACACTTAGCCACAACACAGCAAACAGACCCAAGTGCAATAGTTAAAGTTATTCGCCCACCCAAAACAATCAATCTGCATTAAACCACCCTTTGAAATTCCATAAGTATACTACATAAGTATGCAAAGATCAGCTGGATCAATCAGTGATCGCTATTTGCATTTGAGGAGCAGTCAGTCTTCCAAGAAGCTGGCTTAGCTAAGAAAATTCAGTGGCCCGCCAGGCCTCCAAGACTACTTTCAACACTGCTGCTGCGCTACTGTTACAAATAAAAGCAGCAGAATACAAGTCAGAGACATTCTCAAGAAACATCTAGCTGGATGTAGAATCGCAGCCATATTCGTTTCTTCACTCACCAGCAGCTTCAACATTTCCTTGGTATCGGGGTCCACTTCAATGATCTCCTGATCCAGGGCAGAGACCTGATGGAGAAAGAGGCGGGTATTGATTTGGCTGAAATGATGTTCCACAGATAAGGAATGCAGTGTATGTCTGGATACAGATCAGTACAGCACTTGTGTGATGCATACACTATGCCAGGCATGGCCAACACAGTTTGTGCTACGTTTTCCAGGCTGCACTAAGGCGTCTCAGCTGCAGTCAGTGACAGAAGCAGCTACTTGTATTTAGAAAGAAGGAAAACACGCAGAAGGAACAGAATAGCCTGCCTTCCTCAGAAAAAAACTACCGCCAGGTACAGTTTTAGGGGCTAGAAAAATTGGATGTGTCCAATTTTTATATTTTGTATTGTTATTTATTTGCTGGAAGCCGCCCCAAGGCTTATGTGAATGGGGCGGCATACAAGTTTCCCAAATAAACAAACAAGCAAAAGCATAGTGTGGCACAGAGATCAGAGCATTTGGTTTTCACACATGAACAAGCCTCTGTAAAAGAGGTAGGAAAGTATTCTTCACTCAAGTTGAATTGAAAGGCTACTAAAAACAAACAGTATCTGCATTCAGCAAGCCCAAACAGCTTTTGACATTGGGGACCAGGCCTCACTGGGGCCTGGCCTCTAAGTTCACTGGGGACCAGGCCTCTAATATTCCATTAAATAACCAGACTCTGGGTCTTTGGAACACAAACGATGCATCTTCCACAGAGACTACTCAAGGTATAACAGTGTAAATTCATTTGTACCAAATGTTATTTGCAATCAGAAACGTTTGGAAAAGCGTGTGCATATGCTACGGTTATATTTCATCACTGTAGCCAGCTTGTGTCACATTATTTATGCAAAAATAGTAGCCCTCAGGACACAGAAGCAAACAACTGAAGGAAACCTGTATCAGAGTCCTCTCAAACGTTTTCTCCCCAGTATGCCCTGAAAAGCAAACTAGTAGTGTGTAGTCTCTCGATTAGGTGAACAATCCAGCAGAAGCAAAATTCCAAGCCCACAGTAAGTGCTTTACATCTGGATTCATTCTGAAACTATGAAAGGGCTACCTATTACAATTTTTTGGCTCCTGTCAATCTAACCAGAATTAAACCACATCTCATTAACCTTCATTCTGCTACATTTTTAACGACTGGGGCAACCAAAGCACTTGTGATCGCTATTCTCAATACGACCAATGAACTGTCCCATTTTAAAGTAATGAGGACAAATTGCTGAGGAACAGACGGCCCTTACATCTTGTTTCTACAAGTGTTAAAACCGGAATAGAGACAGTAGCCCTGTTCTCCGTTGCAGCTTAAGCTGGCTGACACATCAAGCTGCAGTCACATCGCTAGTGCCCAAGCAAAAGTGAAATGGCAGCCTCCCTGTTTTAGAGTTTAACAACAGGTGGTCAAAGACACTTGTCTAAATAGCCTCAATCAGAAGTAAAAATAATCAGAAAGGGGGTGATGTGTTTTGCAGAGAGGCTGTGCAAAACAGGCACGTGCTGATTTGACAAATGACATCTGGCACAAGGCAGGTGCCCACAGCTTCTCCATTTCTGGCATGCTTTTTGAACGTAAGGATGAAGAACAGCACGATGCCCCTTCTATTAAAGGGGGAAAGTATTTCTTAAATGTTACCAGTGCTGACTATAGTTTCAAACACAAAATACCATGCTATCATGCCAATTCTCAGGAATGTCTGAAAAGCTCAGGGTTTGGAAAGGATAACAGGCCTCCCAAACACGGGAAATGCTTTCAGGAATCCTCTACCTGCACTATCAATGACCAGGCCACAGGGAACGGCCACAATCACTTTCGAATGCAGGTTCCTTCATACCTACAGCAGCATCCCCCTAACCAGTGTCACCCAGTTGTGCTGGACTACAACTCCCATTATTCCCAGCCATCACAGACATTGACTGGGAATAATAGTCTAATGCATCAGGAGGACATGAGGTTAGGGAAGGTTGTGACAAGAGTGAACCTGTACAGCATCCTTTGCCACTGGAAAACGTTTCTGAGCACCACAACAGAACCATCTCTACTACTACAGGCAGCCTTCCCCAGTTGCATACAGTTCTCAAGGATCAGCCTAAATAAGACTTTTCCACCCAACCAGGCTGGAGTTTTCCCTGCTAATTTCTTACTGAATTTCAAGTACCTCAGTCATGTTTTAGCTTTATGCTCAGAAGAGACAGTGTAATATAGATTGTGTGAACTAATTTGTCTCATTCATTTACAGAAACACTCCTCGAATAGGTAAATGTGGCTAAACAACTAGCAAATAGTGGATGAGCACCTAACCTGCCCATGTCCAAGTTTAGCCCAACATTCTCAAGGCCACAGTGAAATTAGTTAATTCACAGGAATGGTTTAGGAATCAGTTTGCTGGGCAGAAAAGCTTTAACTGCTCCAGAAGAGTTGGCAGTCGGGCTAGTTTACACTGCCCTCTTGCGCTAAAATGGCTGCACTTCTTAGAGAGGATACTTTGCGTGCAACAAAGGACATTTTGATCAGAGTGGAGAATCTGCAATAAAGTTAACTTAGGTTGCAAATTTACCTCAGGGACATAGTTATCCCTTCTTTCTCTTTCCTCTTCCTGCAGTTTGATGGAGATGCCTCTGACTGGCCCTCTTTGAATGCGTTTCATCAGATGGGTAACATACCTGCAAAGAAATAATGCCCGAGTACGTGATTGCAATATGCTCTAGTTCCATTAAGGTAACTTAAAGACACACAAGGAAAAGGCTTTCATACTTTACAAGTTGAGAAAAGTGTCAAAATGGGCAGCCAGGCACTGACAGCTGAAGTGTTGCAACCTCTGTTCTAATTATCCACTTGTAGGCATGTCTGAAAAGCTCAGGGTCTGGTAGGGACTTAAACTGATCCTCCAAACACGGGAAATGCTGTCAAGAATTATCTTCCTGCGCTATCAATGACCAGGCCACAAACAAGACCAAAATCACTTTCGACGCAGGTTCTGAAGGAAGGGAAGATCATGGCTCAGCTGGAAACACATTAGTATAACTGGACATGCTAAAACATATTACGAAGTCAGGACTAAACAACCTACCCAGCAATTTTGTTGCGCAACTTCTTGCTAGGGATGATGGCAATCTCCTCACATACTCGCTTATTTGTGTGGAAGTCATTCCCAAGGCGAGTATAATATTTTTCAATTATGACCCGGGCGGCCTTTTTCACCGTCTTTGTGCGCACACGTCCCTAGAAAATTCAAAGGGCAAAAAGCAGTTCAGTGACACGCAACTGAATTACCTAAGCACTTTAATCTCACAACTGATTTAGAATATGAAACCTGCTATTTCCTGGGAACAGAGTAAAAAAACACTTAGCCAGATTCCCTCATAACTGCCTTGTTATAATCATGAAGCACAGCCTTAGGAGTCCAAAAGCTGATATACTGGATGTATGCAGGAGTAGAAATAAGTTGGCAAGTATATGTGGCTCAGTTTTAAGAAACTTCAGCAAAGCTGGAAATTCCCTGCACAATCCCTTTAAAGACATCATATTCACAACGTTTAATGTTAATCCTGTTGATTGACAGGAGTTTGTATAACAACACATAGTACTAGTTACTGACTACTTGTATAAAGAAAAGTGTTTCCGTGACACAGGCTGCACACACAACATACAAACATTGTTTATTCCTGTAAGGATGACAGTCCACAGGATTCACCTCTAGTTATCTTGTTACTCTGGGTCAGATGAATTTATGCAACTAATAGTAGAAACATCACTATTTGTCTTATACACTGTCATCTCTGGATTCAGCATGTAGGGAATTGAATATTATTAACTTCATTAAAACACACAAGGCAAAAGAACACAGTGTTTGGAGTCAGGAAGGAGTGCCTGAACTGCTCACAAAAGTGAGAAAGAGTACCTAAACAAGAGGTTAAGAACCTGTGGCCCTCCAGATGCTGTTGGATTCCAACTCCAGCCACAGCCAACATGGCCACAAGTCAGGGACAATGGGAATTGTAGTCCTGCATCATCTGAAGGGCATCTGTTCTTTACCTCTGCTCTAAACATAGGGAAGAATTTCAGGTACTCTCACTCTATTCTATCCAAGACAAGGCCACTAAAATATATCCATCATATTTCCAGGAATAGATTCTACAGCAAAGGCATATTAACATAAATGCAGGAAAGTCCCTGCCAATGTAAAATCCTAGTAGGTTGCATACATATGAAATGGTGAGCCCACCCTGGGGCACAGAAAATAGCCAAATTACTTCTCTGCATCTTTAAAAAAGGGGCTACCTTTCTTTCACCTAGTTAAGGTACACAATACGTATTAACAATTACAGATGTCACTTCTTGTCCTATGCCTTCAATACCTGAATCATAAACAAAAGGAGTAAGGGGCTGCCACCCACCCAAGCAACCCCCAAGTTTCTTAATCATTGCCAACGTTGTCTGTCTCTGGCTTATGGGAGCTGCAGTTCAAAACATCGGAAGGACACCAAGTTGCCTATCCCAGCTGAAGCTCCCTTGGTTAGGCATACAGTGTTTCACTCCTGTCCTTCACCACACCTTTTCTCCAGGAGTAGTGAAAGCTTCACCTATTGGATTTCTCCCTGTCCTGTTGCTGCTTAAGGAACGGAACAAGAAAGACGGTGGCAGGCTTCATGCTTCCTCCTTTCCAGCATTTTCTGCTCCCTTCTGTCCTAGCACGAGCAGGAAGGTATACTAACTGAAGTCGGAAATAGCCTTCACAACCACAACCTCTCCCACTGGGATGTCCCCGATCCCACAGCTCAGCCACAAACACATGTACATCCTATGGGGCCTAGTCAGCCTGCCCCCGGCGCCCTGGCTTCACGCAACCATCTCTACACGGGAAGAAATAGGACAGTGACACCCCCACCCCCCGCGCGTAGGGTTCAGGCTGTAGAAGCAAGGGACGGGGAAATGGCCTCCATACTACCGACGGGCCTAGCGACAGCACCCCTCGCTGATGCCAACACGACCCCCCATTCCCCCCCCAGTGCCCGCTGGGCTCCGGATGACGCCGGATTCTATCGCTCTCGCACTCACCATGTCGGCGTCGGCCGGTCGAAGAGAGAGTAGAGGATGCCGGGAAGGAAACTATTGAGCGAACCACGCTAGAGCGGCAGGCCCGCGAAATGACGTCGGCTCTTTCGCAGCGCCCCCTAGCGCGCGGAGGAGGAACGTGCAGGAAGAGCGGTTGTGCTTGCAGGGGCGAGAGGGAATGCGCAAGCAGCGCCGCGGGAGAGCTGGGAGGAGGAGCAACCAGGAGTGCGAGCCGTATGGAGCGCGTTTGTTTTTCACTCTTCCCTTTGTTGCCCACAAAGAGATACGTGAAAAGCAAACGCATTCCATGCAATCCACACTTCTGGGTGCTTTTCTGAATTCTCCACATGCGGGGCAAGGGTGGCAGAAATCGTAGGACTTCGAATTGAATCAGTTAAAGTGCCTGAAATTGCTCACTACTTCCCTCCCCCAGTGTTATTTCTCACTGAATTTTTTTGTATTATTTATAATAAATATTTCTGTATTTCCTAAAAAAAAAAGCCATTAAGGCTGCAAGCAACCATTTAAAACAAATAACCCTTAACACAATAGCAAGAACATTAAATACCATAAAGCATTAACTTGAATTTAAAAAGCTAAATGAAGATGTATGCTAAAAGTTCATCAATCTTAGTTCTTGCAGGAACACATTTGGGGCTTATTCTGAGAAATGTGGGTATAGGACTGAAGCCTAATGCCTCCACTGTTTTACAATTTGATTGTAGGACATGTGTTAAGAAGGATTCTGGTGTGCTTTGAGCGATCTGGATTGTGTGTATCTTCATAAAAGGCAGATAATTCTTTCAAGCACGATTGAATTCAGTGGGATGTGATGCCTGTAAACAGGTAATGGAATGATCTGTGAATTAAAATGCCTCAAGTATTCAAATAGTAAATGGAAGCTATTACATATTTTATTGATTAATTTATTTGTTCAGTTATCTATATCGCTGCATTTACAAATAAAATTCTTCCACGATAGCTGACAACAACAACAAATTACTCCCCACCAGAAAATCACAAATCACTAGGAGTAAGAGTATATGCAGCAGTATAATGTAAAGTCCAACAGAACAGTAATTTTAAAAGTCTGTACTCTACAACTAAAGACTGCAAAAGAGGAGGCTTAACTGAGCTCCTTGAGAAAGGCTCTCTCCTGGCTTGGGAGCCACTACCAAGAAGACCTTGATTCTCCTGCTAGCTGACTCAAATTACATTAGTGACAAGCCAAAGAGCAGCACCCCAGGAGGTTCATATAGTCTTAGGCTGTTCAACATACCATTTCTTAGACTGTTGAAAATAGTGACACAAGCACTTTAAGCTGAGTCCAGAAAGTTGGTAGCCAGGGAAACTTCTGTAGCATTGAATCCCTCCTTGCATCCTGATGACCACATTTTGAACTGACTAAAGCTTCTGTCACTGAAAGCAGGGCAACATGTGGTACCTTGTAATAGCCTGTTCCTGGCTGTAATGAAGCAGCACACACGTAAGTTTGGTTCTACCTTCTCCAGATAGTGTGGCAATTTTTAAAAAACAGCCAAAATTCATTCATTTGTTCTTACATTTCTGCTCTACTCATTACCTAAGGCCTCCGATTGATTCACCAAACTATACAATAAAAGGTAAAACTATACAATACATCATAGTAAAACAAAATAAGTTTGAAACAGAATAAAGCCACCTTCCTCTGACACAATAAAAGCTAAACATTATACAAAACAAAAGGGTGTTAATTGCAAGGTGATTAGGGCACTGAAAATTAAAAACCCAGATAAAACATATGAAAGCAATCAAAAGACAGTTGAAGGGCAGATTTGAGTATTATTCAGAGAGATTAATGGTGCAATCCTATGCATGTTTAGACATAAA